TATATGATAAAAGGGCCTACTTTTTGCCATAAAAATATTTTGGAGAGCAAATCATACTTTTGATTACACATGGCAACTGCCAATTGACTTATGCACACTCCAACTTTAAATTCTTTTTCTGAATATTGTTTTGTTGCGGGAGGACTCTCCAAAAAGTTTACACAATCATCAAACAAATTATCCGAAACATTTGAAAAATAAGAATGTTGTGAAATTTTTGAATCACCAAACTTTTGTTCGATATCCTGAAATAATTTATTCATTGAAGGCTGCATATTCCATAATATGAGCTTATTAAACATCAAATTGGATTTATTAATTTGTTAGATGTGTGAATAAGAACAGGAAAATGGCATTTAATAATAAAATATTTTCATACCTGCAATAAAGTCATCAAAGTATCTCTACTCATCCTTATTCTAGTCCCACGGAGAGAGGTTTTGAGTTCTTCAAGGATAACTTCTCCAAAAGCATTAGTTTTGACATCATCGGGAGAAATGATTTCGACTACTGCCTTGTAAGATGCCATTAGTTTTATAAATGATTCGACGGTTACAGCACATTTATTGATTGTATACTTCAAAAAGCCTTTAATAGATGTTATTATATCCTATGAAATAAGTTCAAAATACAGGTTTGAGGTATATAAATAATAGTAACAATCACATTATAAGCTCGAATTTCGAAAAGTAATTCTCACCTTTACGGAATTAGGATTGTTTCTAACTACAATAGAAATCATATTAAGCACAGGATTTACATCCCAATCAGTTGCTTTCCATTCACTTGTTTGTTTAGATAACTTTGTTAAGAACGCTCCCAAATCTGTAAAATTATGTAATGCCAATTAATCAACAAAAAATATGAAAATTTGCATTTGGCTCCCTCCAAGTGTTCTTTAATTGCAAGTTATATTTTTAAGATACAAGTCTTCTAATCCAAAGTATATATTTATATATTTTTTTCCCACTAAGCGTAATGTCTTAAATGTGGTTAACTTTTTCACTAATGACTGACCAAGATAATTTAAAGAATGCCAACTATGAGTGCCACTAGGAAAATCACACATCTGGCTTTTAAATTTATAATTTATCTCTAAAAAGTCAGTCAGACTAAGTCCGGTAGATAATAAACTTGAAACGCAATGACAAGTTTTCACTTGAAGGCAT